TGGATTCGGGTTGGTGAAGAGGTAGGGGAGATTTGTGAGAAGTTGAGGGAGGTGGAATCATCATCAGTATAGATTGTATGAAAAAAATAACAACGACAAAGAAAGAAATGATGGATCTCGGTATTGGTAAATTCTCAATTCTCTGAAATTAAAGCCGCATATTTTACTATAGTAAGTAACTAAAATACCTATGGTTGTTACTCTTTGTTAGAACTCAAGTAAACCTGGATTAGTCTTAGAAATTACTTTGAAGTCTTATGCAATGATGTATTGGGACTTGTGGAATAAGCATTGGCCTTTGGAAAAATGTATATAAAGAAGAGGTTTCTATGACAGCTGCACATTTTGATATAGAAAAATGTGGATGTACAAATAGAGACTTCTATCTTTCCTGTTCATGTGACAAGTTTAGTTCAAAGAAAAATTGATCATCACAAGCATTCCAAAAATATAAAATGTTTCCTTCATACTTTTAAATATAAAAGCATGAATTTATATAACTCCACAAATTGTGGTGTATATAATCTTAGAAATGCAGTTGGTCTTGTGGATTCTTAAACTAATGAATTATTTAGAGTGGTAGCTACATATTTTTATTTACTACTATAGCTGGCTATCTAGAGTAAACTCTAAAAATAGTGTGGCTTGCTATGTATGGAATGCTGTTCTTTGAGGTCTTTACTGTAACTTATTTCCACATGAATTAGGAAGAAATCAGTGTATAATTTAAGAAATGTATTATTAATTTTTTGAGAATTCCATATAATATATTTTGATTATACCCATCTGCCTCAGACTCGCCGCCTACTCATCTTCTTAATGTCTCCCAGATCCACCCATCCTCTCTACCCTAATGACTTCATATCCTCTTTTTACTTTTTTTGTAAAATTTTTAAGATAAAATGTGTTTTGATTATATTCCCCACCCCCAGATGCTTCTAGATCCTCCCCATGTTCCTAACCATTCAATTCCATGTTATTTCTCTGTCTCTCATACAGAGAAAAACAAAAAATAAAAAATAACAAACTAAAAAGAAACAATAAGATAAAAAATACCAAAACAAAACAAATAACACACAAAAGACATGGAATTTATTTTGTGTTTTCCAACTACTCACTCCTGGGCATGGTGTCTACCTTGGAGGGTGGTTCATACACCCAGTGGGCATGGTGTCTACCTTGGAGGGTGGTTCATACACCCAGTGTCACCCCATTAGAAGATAAACCTGATTTTCCTTAATGACAACAGGTATCTTATTACAAGTAGCTTCTAGGTAAGGGGTAAGACATCATTTCTATTTCACCTTCTGCAAGATGGGATTTTGTCTATTTTTAACTTATGCTGGTCTTGTGAATGTTGCCACAGTCTCTATGAATTCATAGGTCTATCAGTCTTGTTGTGTCTGAAAGACACTGGACACTGTTTCGTTGGAGCCATCTACTGCCTCTAGCTCTTCTTTCTGCCTTTTCTTCCTTGTAGGACCTTGAGTTGAGGGGAGATGTTTTATTAAAAAACATGTCATTTAGGGCTGAGTCTTCTAAAGTCTCTCACTCCCTGCACATTGTTAAGCTGTGGGCCTCCTTTTTAGTTACCATTTAGTGCTAGAAGAAGCTTCTTGGATAAGAGTTGATGCTCTGATCTTTGGACATAACAGTATGTCATCAGGAATTGTTTTATATCTATTTTCATTTAGCAGAATAATAGTAGTAGGTTTTCCCTTAGGCCCATGACATTATCTAGTTTCAGATTCTTGGAAATTTTAACAGAGTCAAGTATGGGTTCCACCTCATGGAAGGGCCCTTATGTACAATTAAAAAGTGTTTGGTTGCTTCCATAACATTTACATCACTATTATATTAGTATACCGTACAGGAAGCTCACTGTTGTAGGTCACAGGGTTTACAGTTGGGTGATATTAGTCATTAAATTTCTCCTCTTGTAATGTGCAAAGTACCTTCTACCACCACAAATGATAGTCAGTAGGGGTGAAGGTTCTAGTTGAATACTGGCTCAGTTTCTCCATGTTTGATAATGTAAGTAAGTTTGTCTTTTTCAGTAGAGCCTTACCATTAGATTTGGAGGGTAATTAATAACCTTGGCAATAATCTATACTGGTTAGGGTGTTCTATAGAGCTCCATCGGCCAATGGCTCAATAAGATGTAACTTATTCTTGGTACAGTATGAGGGGTTATAAATGGTGGTATAAGATATCTAGTTGGAGCATTGTCTCCTCCATTATATTGTAGCTCCATTTAAATTCCTTGCTTATATGTTTATATTTTAAGAAGCTTCTGTATTAATAGGTCTCTATAGGTCAAGAAGCTCAACATAAGACCAGATACCCTGAATCCAAAAGAAGAAAAAGTTGGGAGTAGACTTGTTCTCATCAGCACATGAAAGCATATGACACAGAAAAGGATGACTATTCAAAACATTGATAGCACAGGTATTAAGAACAATGATTAATCAATGGGACCCAGGAAGCAAATAATAATAATAATAAATAAACATTTTGTACAGCAAAGAGCAGCATCGTTTGAGCAAACCAGCAGAATCTGTACTAATTTATATTTTACAGAGGATTAACCTAGAATTATGAGGAAGCACAAAACAAAACAAAGCAAAAACCAAAAATGAAAATCAAACAAACAAACTGAAAACTCTGAGCATCAAGAAAAAATTAACCTAATTTTGAAAACATAGCATAGAACTAAACAGAGTGTTCTCCAAAGATACGCAAGCATCAGATAAATGTTTTAAAAATGTTCAACCTCCTTAGCCATCAGAGAAATGCAAATTAAAACTACTTTAAGATTTTATCTCACACCAGTCATAATGGCCAAGATCATTAAAACAAATGAAAGCTCATGTTGATGAGGATGAGGAAAAAGGGCAACACCTATTCATTGTTGGTGGGAGTGAAAATTAGTACAGCCACTATGGAAATTCATGTGAGGTTCCTCAAAAGCCCAAAATCCATCTACCACGAGAACTAGCTATACCATTTTTGGACACATACTCAAAGGTGTCTCCCTCTGACTACAGAGATACTTCTTCATTTGTGTTCATTGTCACTCTATTCAGAATACCCAGAGATTGGAAATAGCTAGACACTCATCAGCTGATAAATGGAGAATGGAAATGTGGTAAATATGACAATGGAATATTATTCAACTATTGAGAAAAATAAAATGATTAGTTTTGCAGGGAAATGGCGGGAGCTAGAAGCAATCATGCTGCCTGAGGTAACTTAGAGCCCAAAGAACAAATATTGCCTGTTTTCTCTTAGATGCAGTTGCCAGCTTTTATGCATTAGATATATAGGTTTCAACTAGAATAAACAGAAATTAGGAAGCTAGTAAGGGACTAGGAGGACAAGGTAGGTCTTCCAAGAAAGGGAAAATAGCACACAGCTTTATAAAGAGAAAATGGAGAAATTAGAATGAGAGGGTTAAATGGGGAGGAGAATGGGAGGCAGAGTAAAGGCGGGAATACGGGAAAGGACAAATCACACTCAAGCATTCTTGAAAATCCATATGCCATCACCTTTTTAAAACAACTCATTGTGTTTCCTATGTGCTCTTGAATATTGGACAATTTACTGGATCATTCTCAATCTACCAGGGACCACAACATTAAAAAATAAAAACTACCATCAACAACAATTAAAAAAAAAAAAAACCTGACTCTCCTTCCTCCCAAAATGATCAAGTGCCCATAGTTCCTCCATCACATGTGGGTCTCATGAACCCCTTCATGATCTGTGCTACAGTGTTGACTGGCTTGATCTTGTGCAAACAATCACAGTTGCTATGAGGTATTCAATGAAGCAACCATGTCATATCTAGAAAACACTGCTTCTCTCCAGGCCTCACAACCTCTAACTCTGATGATCTTTCTGCCCCCCTTTTGCTCTGTTCCCTGAGGTTTGGGGGAGAGGGTGATACAGATGACTCATTTGTCTATAAATTTAAACCACAAAATGGCAAGTACAAGATGTTTGAAAACAGAAAGAATTTTTTTCATACTGAATGTAATGGTGTTTTGTTCTTTACTTTTGTTTTCCCTTTTCATAAAATAATAGCATAACTTTAATATTGGTGAAATTATTAAGGCCATTCCATGTAGTTAAAAGGAGATTTATTTAATGGCGTAACTTACAAATTAAGGAATAGGTAGGTCGCGGAGTCTGGGGAAGGTGTATCACAGTCCAGCGGTGTTCTCTGGAGCTCTGCTCGGTCCACCTCTCCAGTCCAGGGTCCCGCAACAGAGAGCACGCCCGCCGATCCAGATCTCGGGTCCCCAGGCGCCTCCCTTGGCCCCGCCTTGTAGGCGTGACAGTTGCCGAAGTCTCAATGGGGGTTGGAACTTCCAGATCAAAGCTGGAATGGCTACCCACTACATCTCCCCCTTTTTGTCTAAATAAGAAAGTTCTGGGGGCTAAGCTAGGGAGCTGAGACCGGACTAGCTGCTCCCTTTTTCGGGAATGGAACCGTGTAGGCATTCCCTGGTTCTATGGAACTCTGTAGGCGGGTTTAGGTACCCGCCAGCCGGGGAGGAGGCTGAGGGCAGGAGCCATCCAGGCCTTTGAAACTTGCCCCACGTTGGGCACCAGATATTGGTGAAATTATTAAGGCCATTCCACGTAGTTAAAAGGAGATTTATTTAATGGCGTAACTTACAAATTAAGGAATAGGTAGGTCGCGGAGTCTGGGGAAGGTGTATCACAGTCCAGCGGTGTTCTCTGGAGCTCTGCTCGGTCCACCTCTCCAGTCCAGGGTCCCGCAACAGAGAGCACGCCCGCCGATCCAGATCTCAGGTCCCCCGGCGCCTCCCTTGGCCCCGCCTTGTAGGCGTGACAGTTGCCGAAGTCTCAATGGGGGTTGGAACTTCCAGATCAAAGCTGGAATGGCTACCCACTACACTTTAAAAAGTATGTGTTTTATAACCACATGCTAACATTTTCTAAGCTTTTAAAAAGTAATCTTTTCTCAACAGAGAGAACTGTCATTACAATACCACCATCTAAAATGGATGTTACAGTCGGTGAGAGTATTGTTTTACCATGCCAAGTGTCTCATGACCCCACCATGGAAGTTGTATTTGTCTGGTACTTTAATGGAGATGTCATAGACTTAAAGAAAGGAGTGGCGCATTTTGAAAGAATTGGGGGAGTAAGTATCTGAAATTGTGAAGTTCTTAATAAAACAAAGCATGTTTTACATGAATCCACGTAGTTCATAATCGTTCTCTCCGTCTTTATTTACAGACATAATCACTATCTGTGTATAAAGCTGCATCTGTTTTTGTTTTGCTTTATTTTATGTATTTCTCAGAAATACTTGTTTTCTAGATGCAATTAGAGTAAAGGGGATAATAAAAGGGATCAATTATAGAAAATTATAATAATCTTAGTATATCTTCTAATTTCAAAACTGTCTTATGTTTAATATCCACCCAGCTGTAAAGAAAATGGGACCCGCTGTGTGTGATTATGCTTTCATGCAGCTCCCTCTTTCTGTCTTCAGGAATCTGTTGGGGATTTGATGATAAGGAATATTCAATTAGGACATTCAGGAAAATATCTATGCACAGTGCAAACAACACTAGAACGCTTGTCTGCTGTAGCTGATATCATTGTGAGAGGTGAGCAGAAATGATGAAAGAGGGGTTCGATCTTTTATTCATGATCAGAAATGTCCATACATAAATAGTAGCTGTTTGAGGAATTAAATGAGGATAAGAGAATGAGAGAAAACCACAAGTGATTTCCTGTTCTGTTAATTCCAAGAGTCCATATTATGGGTTCTATGGTTATGGCCAATAAATGACTGTGCTTAGCACAAAGTAACAATTCCTAAAATTAGACTGGCCTTCTATTTTTAATTAGGCATTACTCTCAGAGCAGAATAAACTATATAGGATTTCACATTTATCCATATTAGGTATGTTTTCTTAGGATACATTTGAGAGAGACTGGATATTAATGATGAATTAATTTTGAAATAGCTCATTGTTATATGTTATTCAATAAATGCATGATTAGTATTCCGTAGTCTCCAGAGATGGCATTTCTAAGCTAATGTGTTATCTGGATATGACAGATTGTTAATATTTAATCTACAACCACTAGTTTGTATTCAGTAATTTATTTTCTATGTATTGCAGGTAAACTAAGCCATTCTAATCCTTAACTGATGTGTTTAAACATTTCCAACATAGTTGTCATAAATGACATTTTTCAGGTCCACCTGGTCCTCCAGAAGATGTAAAAGTGGAACACATCTCAAGTACCACCTCCAAGCTGAGCTGGAGACCTGGTCCTGATAATAACAGCCCCATTCAAATATTTACCATTCAGACTCGAACACCCTTTTCCGTGGGCTGGCAAGCTGTTGCTACAGGTATATGACTTACATACTTGTGATGATTGTCTAATAATGATTCTCATGGAAATAATAATTTTAATTTGATAGCCCTAATTAATATATTTTACAACAATTTTAATAATATAAATTATTACCTACATCCCCAAACTGGAGATATCTCATATTAGTAACTTAATGATACACTTGATAGCCCCAAAGAAAAACAAGAATAAATAAGAGTAGATAGGAAGAAATGAACTTAGGGCTGAAATTAATGCAATAGAAATAACAAAATATGCAATAGAAAAATATCAATAAAATAAAGGGTTGGTTTTTTTGACAAAAAAATCAACTTTTAACAAAAATAACCAAAAGAAAGAGAAAGAGGATCCAAATTTCAAATTTGAGAAGTGAAAAGACATTCCTACAAACAATGAGGAAATTCAGAGACTCATAAGGATATACTTTAACAATCTTTATTCTACCAAACTGGAAAACCTAAAAGAAATGAATTAATTTCTTGATATATAGAGCATACCAAAGTTAAATCAAAATGAAATAAACCATTTAAACAGACCCCAAGCCCATAGTTAAATAGTAATTAAATATTAATTAAAGAATAATTAAAAATATCCTAACAACAGCAACATCAAGAGCCAGACAGATTCAGTGCAGATTGCTATAAGACCTTCAAAAAAGAACTAATGCTAATATTCCACAAATTATTCTGTAAGATATAACCTGAACAAATATTTCCACATCTTTTTTATGAAGCCACTATTACATAATGCCCAAACTACATAATGACTCAAAAAACAAACACACAAACAAAAAACAAAAAAAGAAATCATATCTCAACATTCCTTATAAACATAGTTGTAAAAATTTTCAATAAAATGTTTGCAAACAAAATTTAAGGAAAAATTAAAAAGATTACCCACCATAATCACATTCACTTCATTGAAGAGACGCAGGGATGGTAAGGATATGTAAATCAATAAATGTAATCTATCACATAAACAGTCTAAAAGATAGAAACAACATGTTCATTTCATTAGATGCGAGAAGACATTTGAAAAAAATCTCACATTCCTTCATGTTAAAAATCCTAGAGAGTTCATGTGTTTCCATTTGTTTGGCTATTTGTCCCTGTGCTTTATCCAACCTTGATCTCAACAATTCTTGCTCATATAAACCCTCCTCTTTCTCGCTAATTGGACTCCCGGAGCTCCACCCAGGGCTTAGCTGTGGATTTCTGCATCCAGTTCCCTCAGTCATTGGATGGGGGTTCTAGCATGACAATTAGGGTGTTTGGCCATCCCATCACCAGAGTAGGTCAGTTCGGGCTGTCTCTCGACCATTGCCAGCAGTCTATGGAAACACATGAACTATGAACCAGTGGCTGAGGGGCCCCCAACCGGATCAGGCCCTCTGTATGGGTGAGATAGTCGATTGGCTTGATCTGTTTGGGAGGCATCCAGGCAGTGGGACCGGGTCCTGTGCTCATTGCATGAGTTGGCTGTTTGAAACCTGGGGCTTATACAGGGTTGCTTGGCTCGGCCTGGGAGGAGGGGACTGGACTTGCCTGGACTGAGTCTACCAGGTTGATCTCAGTCCTCGAGGGAGGCTTTGCCCTGGATGAGGTGGGAATAGGGGGTAGGCTGGGGGCAAGGGGAGGGGAGTGGGAGGGGGGCGGGAGAGGGGAGAACAAAGGAATCCGTGGCTGATATGTAGAACTGAATTGTATTATAAAATAAAATTAAATTAAATTAAAAAAAAATCCTAGAGAGACTGGTGATATGAAGACTAGGGATAGGACATACCATATATAATAAAGGCAGCTTACAGCAAGCCAATATCCAGTACCCTTCTAAATGGAGAGCAACTCAAAGCATTTGCATTAAGATTAAGAACATAATAAAAATGTTCACTCTTTCCATACCCGTTCAATACAGTGATAAGACAACTGAAGAGCATCAGGGGAATACAAATAGGAAAGGAAGAAGTCAGAGACTGTTTATTTGCAGATGTTATAATACTATTCATAAAAGTCCCTAAAGACTCCAGCAGGACATTCCTATAGCTGATAAATGCTTTCAGCAAAGTAGCAAGATACAAAATTAACACACAAAAAACAGTAGCCCTTCTGTATTCAAATGACAAGCAGACCTAGAAAGAAAAGATGGAAACTTTACCTTTTATAATGGCCTTGAAAATTAAAATACCTTACAATAACTCTAAGAAAGTCAAACATGTATGTAATAAAATCTATAAGACTTTGAAGAAAGAAATTGAAGAAGTCTTCAGAGCATGGAAAGACTGCACCCCCATGTGTATTGATCAGAAGGATTAACATCATGAAAATGTCCAGTCTACCAGAAGCAATCACCCTATTCAATTGAATTTCTATCAAACTTCCCACTTAATCCTTCACAGAAATTGAAAAAATAATAATTTTAGCTTCATATGAAAACAAATGCAAAAAATAGAAATAACTTTGAGTTCTTGACTAGTGCCTATGCATGACCTTAAATGCTCAGTTTAGATTTTTGCTTGTTTGCATTAGTTCCTGAAATTCTCAATGGACAGACATATAATGCAACAGTCATTGGTTTGAGTCCTTGGGTGGAATATGAATTTCGTGTTGTTGCTGGGAACAACATTGGGATTGGAGAGCCAAGCAAACCTTCAGAACTGCTGAGAACCAAAGCATCAGGTAAGAAAGAAATCAATGTTTACTGCAGACATGGAAGATCCTTTCTGTCATAGTTCTTAAAGAATAGATTCTGTGGGTCCTTTAGAAATGTAAGAACAAAATTAGTGTTGATGAGTCAGGGTCTCTAGTTTTCACATTTGTAACCCAGAATGAGCAGCTCCCAGCTCCCTGTATTTCCAACTTTAGCACCCTCGTCTGATTTCCACAAGCACCTACAAAGATATGGTCCATATTTACACAAACCTAAATATACATGAATTAAAAAAAATGCATCTTTAAAAGTATTTTTTCTGCTTCTCATTACATTGGAAACTATAAACAAACCACTTTTATTAATTAATTAATATAAGTATATTAATTAATATAAAAAATACTTTAGTAACTGCCAATGGAAAAGTCTTGAATATATGTGAAGCTGTCAGTACTATATATCCAGTAACTCTGTTGACATTACCCTGATCATGCTGCTTTTGACAAAATGAATGACAACACTTAGACAGTATGACTTAGGTTCATCTGAACTTCATGAAAATCATAAGCAAACAAAATGAAGGGGAAATTGAACCTTAAAACGTATGGTGGACAAATGCTATCTTAAGAAAGAACATGAGATTATCATACCACTATCTTATTGATAGAGCTAATATATCTGCATAAAAGAATAAAGTGAACAACCTGGGGTTCTTTAGATAGTCACAATTATAATAGTCTGAAAGAAAACTGACATGAGTAGTTGAGCTTCCCCCAACACACACACACACACACACACACACACACACACACACACACACTTTCATCTTTGACTGAAATCCTCAACTGTATCCAAGATCTTAATCCCAACTTGTGAATCTTGGACAAAAAAGGTGCCATGTAAATAACTTTACATAGTTCAACTCTTGGAAAGCACACACAGCAGCTTTATACATTATTACAGATTTAGTTTGCTTTTGATATTATATCAACAGGAGTATTCTTAATCCTTCTAAGTATGTGATAAAATCTATATTCTTACTACCCACCCCCTTTGAGATATTCCCTAGCATTTTTTATGTTTACAATTTACCTTGAGCCATGTTTACCACTGTAGTCCTCATAGACTTGGAGTAGAATAACATATTATCTGTCTTATTACATCAGTCTTATCAGTGTCTTGGTCTTAGATCCAAAGAGTAAGCTGAAGTCATAGCCCCTCAGTGACTTGCTTTACAGGAAAAAAAAAAACTTACTTTACAAGTGAAAAGTTAAAAATTACTCTCATTCTCTCCAGAGTAATTTTCGTACAAGGATTTATTTTTAAATGTTAAAATATCCTGATGGTTAAGAAAGAAAAAACATCCAGCTTGTTTATTGACAAAAAATAATTAATTAATGTACTGCCTGAGTAAGTTGTTTACAGCACAACTGTATAATTAGGCACTAAATCAGCAGTGTCACCGTTACCATCTGAATGCAACATCATTTTGCCAATTAGTAGATGATGCATAATAATGTCAAACACACGATGTTACTTGATTTTTAATTAATTTTGGAGCCAAGGTGCCCATGTATCAAACAAAACTGTGTCCTCTCTCTTAGAAATTTGGATGTGTGTAAACATCATTTATGTTCATTAAAAATTCAACACTTTCTCAGTCTGCCAGGGTGAGAGCTTTGAGAGGTGAAACCCTCCCAAATAGAACTCTTCTTGATGAAGTTATTTCTTTCATCCTAACCATCCACATTCTTCTTGGTTGTCTGCAGTCCCAATTGTGGCACCAGTAAATATCAATGGAGGCGGTGGAAGCAGATCAGAACTCGTCATTACGTGGGAGGTAATTTTCTGTCGGACTAAGTTATTTTTGAAGGAGAAACACTTAGCTAGCCAGAAAGAACACTGAAAAAACAACAAAGCTTTATTTAATTGCTATAGAAGATATATAAATATTCAGGGAAAAATGCACATTGCCCTGACCATAAGTTATTAAATGGTAGTATTATGCAGCTCTTATTTCTATTAAAGTAAGAGAATAAGACTAACTCAGAAAAAATATTGCATATATAAAAAAATATCAAAATTTACTGAGTGGTGGTCAATAGTATTGTAATTGTGACTAGGTGGATTGGGTACCATTTTATTAATTAGCTAGGAAACATCAAGTAATCAACAAATATAATAGTAGCTCAAAAGATTTGGTTAGGATGACTCAGTGGTTAATTGCATTCTGCCCAAGTCCATTCCAGAAGAACTACAGAATGGAGAGGGATTTGGATACATCATCATGTTCCGGCCAGTGGGCTCCACAACCTGGATGAAAGAAAGGGTAGCACTTGTTGAATCATCAAGGTTCATTTACAGAAATGAAAGCATCATGCCCCTGTCTCCCTTTGAAGTCAAAGTAGGAGTGTACAACAATGAAGGAGAAGGGTCCCTGAGTACTGTGTCCATTGTCTACTCTGGAGAAGATGGTAAGTTACCTTTAATGTTGGGATATTTTACCTTGTAATATGTACAATTCTCTCTCTCTCTCTCTCTCTCTCTCTCTCTCTCTCTCTCTCTCTCTCTCTCTCTCTCTCTGGTTTTGTCTTCTTTGAGGCTCTCTATTAAAGGTGATGTCTTTTCCTTGATGGTAGAACCTCAGCTGGCCCCAAGAGGAACTTCTGTCCAGAGTTTTTCAGCTTCTGAGATGGAGGTTTCCTGGAATGCCATTGCTTGGAATAGAAATACTGGAAGAGTGTTGGGCTATGAGGTAATTCAATTGTCTTCACTCTGCATATATATGCAGCAGCTTACTACACAAGAGCTTTTGCACAGGAGTTTGTTAAGATGCCCTATTTCCTGTTATGTAACAGTGCATCTGTTGTTACTCTGCTTTATACTAATGTACCCAAACAGCTAAAAGATTCTATTTTAAAAGAAGAATGTGGGAAATGGGGGTGTGGGAATGCTGGCAAGATAGATCTCTGCTCTTTTCTGCCCTCTACATGCAAAGATGCACATGGTCACACACACAAGTACACATATATTCACACAGTTGCATACATACATGCAAATTTTTTTTTTTGTAAATAAAAGCATGGATATTAATTTTGGCTCATAGTTACAGAGCTTCAGTATATAATTGGCTTATTGATTTGGGGGTCAGAATGAGGACCTGTTGGCTGTGAGAACAACTGAAAGGGGAAAATGCTTGCAATGGCAGCCAGAAAACAATGATACAGGACAAGTCCAGTGTCAATTATCTCTTTCAATGGTGTGACCTCAGTGCTCTAACTCTCCTTAGAAGGCACCACGTTTTCAAGATTCCTCTACCTCTCCATAATTTCATTGGCTTATGACCGACCACTCTTTCAATACAGGAGTTTTGGAGTAGCATTGATGATCCAAGCTGCAAAATTTCAACTCAAGACAGAGATGAAGACATAGGAATGTTTCCAGGTGGTCTTATGCAAACAGATTTAGCATTATAAAATATTCATTTTAATAGGTATATAGTTGCAATTAAGTAAGATGAGTGTCCTACAACATTGCAAGTATACAGCACAAGTAATAGATAAAAAAATCTGTTAAGAGGACAGAGCTCATGTGAAGTGTTTTTTTTTTTTTGTTTTGTTTTTCGAGACAGGGTTTCTCTGTGTAGCTTTGCACCTTTCCTGGGACTCACGTGGTAGCCCAGGCTGGCCTCGAACTCACAGAGATCCGCCTGGCTCTGCCTCCCGAGTGCTGGGATTAAAGGCGTGCGCCACCACCGCCCGGCATGTGAAGTGTTCTTAACACAATAACTTTTTTTTTCAAATGATCATGAAACTAAATTATTAAATTATTCAAAGTATAGGCATTGTATTCTTACAGAGGGGGAAAGTTAAACCTCTGTAGATCTTAAACCACAGAATTTTACTGAGGAATTTATTTAGAATATGACTTGAAAAGTTTTAATCACCAAGGTCAAGGGACCAAAGTGACAAAGAGAAAACAATACAGATTTTTCCTCAATTGTTTTTTCCATTTAAACTCTACAGAATGATGTAAATCACTTTTGTAGGATTTTGTTTCACAACATTCAAGGATTGAGGGTGAGTAAAGGGAACACCATTAATCACTTATTGTTCTTCATCTTGCAAGTCCAACGAGTCAGGGCATGGATATTTTTTCTTTTATAGAACAATGCCTTTCTAAATATCTGTATTTTCTCTTTGTACTTTGTCTCCCCTTCTCCCATGATCTCTCTGAAAGAACCAAAACCTTATACTCACATGACAGATGTTATTTGAAATGTCATGCCTAGAATATCAAACTTCTTACAGCAAGCCCTGTTATTTATCTAATCTCTAAACTCCTCACTAACCAACATTGCTTCTCTTCAAACTCTAAGATCAGCAGTTTCCACTTCCATTTCTTTGGAATTCATCCTATGGATTTTTTCCACACATAGATTCCAACTTGGGGGCTTAAGGGCTGATACTGAACTTTATGCTATTTTGTCTTGTTTCAGTGTGTCTGAAACAATCTTATTGCATAGCAAGAGATCACAGTGAGTCGAGTTATTAATTATCCTGGGACTCCAAGAACTCTGAAAGAAATGGTAATACCAAAACATCAGAACTGAAATTTTGATTGATGGCATGGAATTTGTTTTGGTCTGAAATTATTTTATGCCATTTGTTAAAGCTGATAACCTTTAGAAAATTCATTAATGAGTTGGGTAACCTAAAAATACTCAGGTTCTCTTCTTTCACAGTAAATATTTCTGGTTTACTCTCTATAGTTATGAGATATTTATTTTGTTATGGATGTGTATCCATTTTAATTAAACACACTTTATCATTTATACATGTGTCATTCACCATACTCTAATGGTTGACATTTTTCAGAAAACAATAACTTCTTCATCATTTGGTTTTGCCACTCAGGTCTTATACTGGACAGACAACTCCAAAGAATCTATGATTGGTAAAATTAGAGTCAGTGGAAATGTCACAACCAAGAATATCACAGGTCTAAGAGCTAATACGATTTACTTTGCCTCTGTGAGAGCCTACAACACTGCAGGGACAGGACCCTCAAGTCCTCCAGTCAATGTCACCACCAAGAAGTCCCGTAAGTATATGTCACAATCCAGGTCATGACACTAATCTGTGAGTAGCTAGTCTTTCCTGTACTCTGTGGCCATTTAATCCTTCCCACCACATGGTTTTACTGTTGAGTCTTCTTGGTGATTTGGTTTGTGACTTAACTATAGATAATTTTTGACATTATGTGGCACTAATTAAAATATGTCACTTTGCTAATTTTGGAATTCTAAAAAGGAAGGAGTTTGATAATATCCATAATAAGAGAATAGTTCTTAAGACCAGAATCTTTATTGCTTCCTAGAAAGTACGCTAAAATACTAACCTCTCTTCTTTGAAGACAAATAGTTTAGTTAGTCTTCAGAGTATCAATCATCTTGCCTGTATAAGGATGAAAAAGCAACAGTATTTGTATTCTCATAGACTTTCCTCAATGTCAAAGAGATACTTAATAAAGGTCTAGTTCAAATTTTAGTAAATTCTGAGTTTTCATAACTAAAAACAGCTAACAAGTTCATTGCCATAAAATGATTGCTCCTGCTCCAGTGTACAACCTCAGCCATCACATGCAATTGTCTGTATTTAGTGGAAAATCTGCCCCATTGCAGTCTACTGTTCCTTGAGGGAGAGGCATATATGTCTAAATTGCTAGCTCAGATAAAAATCAAGGGTTACTAGGAATGTATATGAATAGTAGTAAAAAGACCCCAAAGATATGTATTACATTAAGATGAGAAGGTGAGAGACATTTTACTCTAACTATTGAATCAGGACTCAGTCTAAACCTTATATGTTCAAACTTCTCGCTCCTTGCCCCAACGTTTTCACCATCAAAGCCTGAAGTCCATAGCAGTGCCCAAAGATGGGCTTGGACTACCTGATCCCTGTATTTGTTCTTTCTTGTGCAGACATTCATTCTCTCTGATTGAGAGGAACCAAAGTGCAGGGGAAGGGGTGTTTACAGTTCACTTGCTAGTTCAGGCAAAATCAATGCTTATTAGAAATGTATATGATTAGTATTGAAAAGATCCCAAATATGTGTATGGTAATAAGGTGAGAGGGTTAGAGACATTTTACTGTAGCTACTGAGCCAAGACTCATTTAAACGGGGGAGGGGGGTGAGGAGGGAGGACAGAGGAATCCGGGGTTGATATGTAAAATTAAATTAATTATAAAATTAAAATAAATAAATAAATAAAAATTTGATTGGTAATCAAATTGACCAGGTTAAGGTAAATTGAGCCTGGAAGTATCTCTTTCTCTCTCTCCCTCTTGCTCTGTGTTTATGTATGTTTGTGTGTATGTGTGTGTGTGTGCATGTGTGTGAGTGCAGGTGTGTGTGTGTGTGCATACATGTGTATGTGCACACACATGTGTGTGCAGGTATGTGTGTGTGTGTGTGTGTGTGTGTGTGTGTGTGTGTCCTTGGGTATTTTTTTATTTCTGTCTTTCTTATTTTAGAGTTTAAAATATTTTTATTCATTAAAATGTTTCTTAGACAATTTCACATCTGTACACAATGCATGTTGACCACTCTCATCCTTATTGCCTCCCATAACTTACCATCCTCTCCTAACCCATTCTCCCCACAAATCTCTCTCACACATTCAAGTCTGTTCATTTGATTTCCTGACCAACTAAATGTAGCTGAAGTTTTCCTGTGTCCACCCAGCTCCTGCAGCCACTCAGACCCAAGTAAACACACAGAGGCTTATATTATTTATAAAATGTATGGCTGTGGCAGGCTTCTTGCTATCTGGTTCTTGTATCTTAAATTAACCCATTCCTATTAATCTATAAGTTGCCACTTTGTAGCTTAAGTTTTCCTGCCTGGCCCACAGTCAGGACAAATCTCTCTCACCTGCCAGTCCCACAGACACTCAGACCCAACCAAGTTAACACAGAGACTTATATTGGTTACAAACTATATGGCCGTGGCAGGCTTCTTGCTAACTGTTCTTAGAGCTTAAATTAATCCATCTCCATTAATCTATACCTTGCCACGTGGCTCGTGACTTACCGGCATCTTCACATGCTGTTTGTCATCATGGTGGCTGGCAGTGTCTCTCTGACTCAGCCTTCCCCTTCCAGCTTTATTCTCCTCCTTGTCCCGCCTACACTTCCTGCCTAGCCAATGGCCAATCAGTGTTTTATTTATTGACTAATTAGCAACACATTTGCCATACAGAACATCCCACAGCACTTCCTTTTTTTTTTTTTTTTCAAAAAGGAAGGTTTTAACCTTAAAGTAAAATTACATATAATTTGGGAATTTGGGTGTAGCTTCTCTTACTACTTCCTGCTGGAGGGGGGCGCTGTATCTTATGGGAACACAAAGAAAATTTTAGGATCATGGAATAGTCCGTGAGGCTGTATCGTCTGAGCCAGTTGCCTTGAAACCATTCTGGATGTTGGATCATCTGGGCCATGGTGTCATCGGAGATCTTTCAGGGGGTCTTGGCTGGTCAAACCTGATGTATCTTAATCTGGAACAAATCCATAGCCTCTGGCTTTCTGTGGGAACAAAAGCAGAGATTCCTTTCCAAGGCAACATATCCTTATATCCAAATTTTGAAGTCAAGGTACCTTTAAAATATACATATTGGTTTAATTCAGCTTCCTTTGCAATCAAATATCTCTCTGCAGTTAAGAATCCCAAAGACAACACAATCCAGATTCTCTGTGTAATATTCATCTTCACGTGGCTTATTTTTTATATTAATTTTACTGTCTCTTTAAAGACTTTACTTTTTAAAACTATGTATTTGTTTCTATAACTGTATATATCACCTTTTTTGTCTCTTTCAAGCCTACGTATCTTTTACACACATTTTAAACTATTACATCTGAATCTGTCTTATTGTGAATCTATTGCTTTAAGCTGCAGCATCTGTGGCTGCTGGCTCCGCCCACCTCAGCTTCCCAACATGGCCTTGGTACTTTACCTCCAGCTCTGGGAGCTATCGTGGGTCTATGCTTTTATCCAAGCAGCGTGTAGCCCAGAAACCTCTTTTTCTGTTTTGTAGTAGCAAAGTCTAAATCCACCATGCAGCTTAATGTGCCACTTGCTGAGGCCTCAGTCCCACCATACGGCGGCAGGTTGAGCACACACTCTAGGAACCCGTCAGTAGCTCAAACCAGCAGCTGCCGCTCATTTGAGAGAGACAATTAGGAAGTTGTTTTTAGCTCCATTTTAGAATCTTTTTTTTCTCAGTTTTTAGGTGGAAACTCTTGCCCCATGTTGGGCGCCATTTGTAGCTTAAGTTTTCCTGCCTGGCCCACAGTCAGGACAAACTCTCTCACCTGCCAGTCCCACAGACGCTCAGACCCGACCAAGTAAACACAGAGACTTATATTGGTTACAAACTGTATGGCCATGGCAGGCTTCTTGCTAACTGTTCTTATAGCTTAAATTAATCCATCTTCATTAATCTATACCTTGCCACGTGGCTTGTGGCTTACCGGCATCTTCACATGCTGTTTGTCATCGTGGTGGCTGGCAGTGTCTCTCTGACTCAGCCTTCCACTTCCAGCTTTATTCTCCTCCTTGTCCCGCCTACACTTCCTGCCTAGCCAATGGCCAATCAGTGTTTTATTTATTGACTAATTAGCAACACATTTGCCATACAGAACATCCCACAGCACCACTTGGCTCGAGACTTACCAGTACTTTTACATCTTGCTTCCTCACTGTCTGACTGGTGACTCCTCACTCTGCTTTCCTGTTCCCAGCAATCTCCTCTCTGCTTGTCCCACCTATACTATACTTCCTTCATGGCTACTGACCAATCAGCGTTTTATGTGTCAACCAAATCAGAGCAACACATACATAACATACAGAACGATACCCACAGCAACTAAATTTGATCAGGACATCATTGTAACCATGGGTGTAGAGCTTCCTCTTGGATACTTGTAGGCTCATCAGAGGGTAAAAAATTGAAGACCTTGATACCCATCTCCTGGAATGCATCAGTAGTTAATAATTCAGCAGTAAAAGGTAGAGCCTACTAAACCCCTACTCCTTCTATGACTGATTACTGACAAGGCCTATTTTATATGGGTCTATTGTAGATAGCCACAATTGTCATGAATTAAAGTTTGCATTGACTATGTATAGTAGAGCATGTCATTTCACAGCTCTTCTTGGTGTCTTCCAGCTCTTAAATATTCCCAATTCATCTTTCATAATGTTCCATGAGTCTTAGAGGATGTGGTATGTATTACTTATTTAAGGCTAAGCCCACAATCATCTCATTCAGCATCTTGGGCAGTCACAAGTCTGTATTCATTGTCTGTATTCATTGTTTTATAGGTACATGATTTGGGGCTAACCATTTGATATTGGATAACCAATATCAGGTGGGACTCTTCCCTGTGGAAGACCACTTTTCTCATTATAAGCATCCCCCTGTTTCCTGTCCTTCTCCGTCTAGGCATAATACCCCACTTTCTCCCTTGCATTAGCATGTCCTTCATTTTTAATTATGCTTCAGGTCTTCTTTAGGCAGCCACGCTGATTATATATCATGGGTGTAGCCTCTTTCATATTTCTAGGAGACACAATCTCAAAGCAAACTTCCTGTTCTGTGTCTTATTAATTCTCCCCACTCTTCTGTAATGATTCCTGGGCCTGAGGTGTAGGAGCTGTGTTTGTATCGTAAACCTAACCAACTCCTAAGGCTAGTGAAGTAATGGATCTTGGAGGAGAACTGACATCCACCATTTTACTGGACCGTCATAATTCCTGACTACATTCTAAATATTAATATTTATCCCCACAGTTAAGTGCAGTTTTACTCCCTTATCAAAGAAAGTTCTCTGTGTAACAGATGAAAACCACTACAGAAAAACCACAACTGACAGATTTGCAGAGGGCAAGTGATCTAGCGGTGCCCACACCATTAGGGTAAATCTGTAACTTAGGTTTTTTAATCTATCTTTAAGTAAACCCTAAATTTAGAGTGCTCCTGATATTCATAATAACAGGAAAATGTCCTTTTTACAACTCTACCAACTCCTTTCTTC